AGCCGGTAAATGTGGGGAGTGGTTTGAATTCAAGGTGCCAAGTTGCCCTGTCTAGGCTTATCGCTGGACGAATATTGGAAAAATATTTTTGGGTGTCCACACAGTCCTACTGTATTGTAGCCGGGGAAAGTGGAAAAATGATTTTTGAGTGTCCTGTAACGCCCTCAAAATAATAACATAAAACCCATCAACAAAGACATGCATTGGTAATAAAGATTAACATTCTTCTATTCATGGGAGTAGTTCCTTACAAAGGTATTACATGTTAACAACAAAAGCAAATGCCCTACGGGCTTACAGCTTTCCAAGTTAACACTTGGTTACAACAAAAGAGTGCTAACTCATTTACACAATAAGCCCTTGGCTTGAATTTACATATAATACATCAAAAAAATAAGACAACAAAAGTGTGTCCGCCTCTAGCCTCCCAAGCTACGTCCTTGGAGGTGGCATGTTACCTGTACCTGAAAATGACATTCCCATATAGGGTGAGCCACAGCCCAGTAGAAATATACTAAACCAAATATGAACAATGACTAAAAGATTAGCAGTTGATAGATGGCCAACACAGATACTTTCCCTTATCACACTTTACGGTTTCATGACATACAAGTCCATATTACAACTCATTTTCCAATTCCTTTCAATTCTCAATGTTACAATTCATTTTCCAGTTCCTTTCAATTCTCATTTTATAACCATGGCTCAGAACCTGGCCAACAACTCATATGAGACAGTAACTCAAAATTATAATAAACCCATTTCATAATAGATAAGCATACTAGCTATATCACATACCAACAGATAAGCGTACAAGCTATATCATCAATTCCACAGATATGCATATGAGCACTATCACACTTCTAATGACAAGCATATGAGCTCTGTCAATACATCACTAGATGAGCATATGAGCTCTATCTACGGAGTCCATACTAGATAAGCATATGGGCTCTATCTACGGAGTCCATCCCCTATCTCCTACCAACAACATCCGGTTTAGAGGTCCATCCCCTATCTTCCCCTAAACCACGGAGTACATCCCCTATCTCCTCCAACGCAACACAATGCATATAAACAATAATTATACACATCATCACACAACACATAAATTTAACGTGTTCTTTCAATCATCATACTCAATGACTCATTCCAGTGATTAGTTTCCGTTTGCCTAATCATCATGCATTGTCTACAACAATCAAGACTATCCTCCACCGATAGCCCAAAGCAGTTATTTCTATACAAAAAAAATAAATGCAACAATGGATATACAATCAACATTTCAACCAGGTGAGCGATAAATAATCCAACTACACCCCTTAACCCCTTTCCCTTTCCAATTTCCACATTCTCAATTCAATTCCTCATTTCTAACAATTAATTATACAAATTAATCAACCAATGTAATTAGGGCATTTTCCATAATTAACATTACAACCCTTAGGTTCCATTTTCATTAATGTTTTAACATTAATTTCACTTTTTCCATGCCAAACATGCATCTAGGCTTTATATGGCTAAAGCCCCAACTTTTGTAAATTTACACAAAAGCCCACACAAAGGCCCCAACTTTCACAAAATTACCAAACCAACCCCACCATCTCAAAATACTAAAATTTAAAGACAAAGCTCATAGTAAGAAGTAGGTTATCCCTACCTCGAAGTTAGAGCTCGGATGGAGAAGAAGCCAAAACCAAAATGCTCCAATGACCAAGATTCTCGGATCAAAACGACGCCCTCGACGATCAACACAACTTTTGTAAAAGCCAAAGGTGAGGAAATCACTCCTACTAGATCAATACCTAAAGAGAAGGTAGAGCTCTGGAGTGAGAGGCTCAACAATGGTGTTTTTGAAAAAGTAAGAGAGAGAAGAGAAGTGGGGAAAGTGATTTAAAATATCAAAACACGGAGCTTTAACCCAGTCACCCCGCTCGAGCGTCCAACGCCCTGCTCGAGCGTCACTCACAGACTCCCGCTTGAGCGTCAACAATCCCGCTTGAGCGAAGGATACACACTTCCAGAACTTTTACAGAACCAGGTCTCCGCTCGAGCGTCAACTCTCCCGCTCGAGCGTCACACACAACATCCCGCTCGAGCGTCAAAATCTCGCTCGAGCGTACAACACTGCAGAGGAGATACTGGAAGATGGAAAACTACGCTCGAGCGTCGAAAACCCCACTCGAGCGGATAGACAACAACGAAGGGCTCGCTGTGTCAAAATCTCCGCTCGAGCGTGAAGGCCAAAATCTGGGCAACTACTCTTGGTTTCCAAGTTCAACCATCCTGTTTCAAACCTGCCCAACACAACCCAAGACTCGAACACAAGGAGTAAAGGATGTAAATAAGACGCACACAGCAACTAAG